GCCATGAAATAAAAAGTTCATGTTAATCCTTTCTCGTCCGCTATCAACAAACATAGTGACGAACGTTCCGTTAACCATCACACTCGGTTTTTCAGGTCTTTTTCTGTGAGAGCAGCTTTCGGTCCAAGTTATTTTTCTAAACAAAATTACTGGCGCTTCTGTGAGAGCAGCTTTCGGTCCAAGTTATTTTTCTAAACAAAATTACTGGCGCAATTGCTTTTCGAGCTGTTCGTTCCAAAATGAAGCACTGCAGAAGCGCACGCGCGTGCTCTCATAGTGGTACACTGCAACTGGTCGTCTGGGCACGAGCAGCTGAGTTGTGTCGTGACTCTCCACCAGGTGCTCTTTTGTGGCGCGCCACCTATCGAGCACTGGTCTCCCATACGCGATTTTATTGCGTATTGTGGATCGATAATTGCATGCGCCAGAGAAAAGGAACACCACCAAGAAAGATTGAGGAAGCAAGTGTGTTACATTAGCCAAACAGTGCACTTTCAATGTACACATAAAACTTTGCAGGCGGAGAAATCATGATACAACGTTCGCGAACACAGTAGCACAAATTTCGGAAACTCACGTTGCCCAATCGTGAAAAACCATTGCAGTGAGACAGCACCTTTGAGAATATCGCCTTGGCAACCACACAGTACAGCGAGTCGCATTCACCGTCACCAAAGGCGAGGGCACGCCGGCCGTGCGCCAGCGATAGCAGTCGGCAGTCACAGGAGTGGCTATCTACACATTCTGTGAGCTAGTTCAGCGCAAAAATCTCACGCCAGTGAACTGCACGTAAGCAGATCAATAAACTACAGAAGGTACGCACGAAACCACCACGCAAGCGCGATCGATGCCTCGTTGACCCGGCACTGCACAGAACTAAAGACAAGCCCTGATAGCAGATTGCCTAGATACGCCCCCCCATTATTGGCACGCTCGACCAAAAAAAAGGCAATCAATCAGTTATCCAAGTGTCAAATAAAGCATAAAGCAAATTTATAGTGAACTTTGACATTAATAAAATTACGACTACTTCAAATAAAAATTTATATATGGAGTTTTCGTTTTGGTTATTTGGCTCTTCCTCACATAGACGCGCTTCAATGGTCGGCGAGCATTGATGGCCGTGGCATCGGTTTTCGACCCTTCTCGTTCCAGGTTTCGCAACCTGTATAATTTTACCATGGTACGTCCTTGAATACTTAGTCACGGCAGCATTTAAGCCTAGTGTTGCATATATCTCGACGGCTCTAGTCCCCGTTGTATAGCAGCTTAAATAAGTCCCAGTAGATTTTGTCTGTTTAAACTAATCGTAACGTTCCTTTGTTGAAGTCTAGCTGTGAACCTTTGACTGAAATAAAATGTTGAGTCATGTGACCGTGTTAAACATAGTAGCTTCAATAGTCGTAAACTATTCAAACAGCATTCGATGCGTATTCCATCCGGTTCCATAAAAAATTTTCGCACGCCGCCACTACTATACACACGCGCATCTTGTGTCGTGCTATATCCATGTTGGGAGACACATTACAGCGAGAGCTAACGGTAACCAGAAGCGCTTGCTAGACATAGCCTGCCCAGACAATTACGTTATTAGTATCAACAAAAAGTGCATTACGTCGGAGTCCACCACAGCTCCGCTGACCTATTTTCGACACCGATCTGACGATTAAAAGTATATACTAGGAAATTGCAAATAAACACGAGAAATAAATGTTCTGACGGAGGCGTAGATTTATTTGTTGGGTTTACCGTCCCAGACGGGGGCGTAGAACCAGCGGCCTTTTCGACCTTCTGGTCTACAGCGCACGGCGAAAACCACTACGCCACGAAACCAACCTTGTTAATATTGTTAATATACACCATACACCGTTTCCGCATCCTCAGAGCTCAGCAACTTCAGTGTGTTTTCGTCATCAGTAGCGAGATGGCATGAAGATATCGCATAGGGCGCGCTGTTAAGGTCGTCACCTCTCGCGTTTCTAGAAGCGCCGTCTCCACGAACCGCGATCTCTCCTACGCGCACGCTTATCAGACTAGTGATTCGAGAGAGCAAAGGTTGCTTCGCTCGCTGCCGCGGCCGCGTTTATGTAAAGAGCATGCTGCGTTCACACGAAGAAGTAAGAATCGTGACATTCGTTCGCGCTTGCCCTGCAGTATGCATACGTGTGCGTTTGTTTCGTGCGTCAGCCCCACCGCGGTGGTCTAGTGGCTAAGGTACTCGGCTGCTGACCCGCAGGTTGCGGGATCGAATTCCGGCTGCGGCAGCTGCATTTCTGATGGAGGCAGAAATGTTGTAGGCCCGTGTGCTCAGATTTGGGTGAACGTTAAAGAACGCCAGGTGGTCAAAATTTCCGGAACCCTACACTACAGCGTCTCTCATAATCATATGGTGGTTTTAGGACGTTAAACCCTACAAATCAATCCATTGTTTTGTGCGTCTTCCTTTCTATTTGAAAAGTGCGCTCTTAGTGTTGAGCTGTGACAGTTGTTAGTCTGCGCTCGTCCAGCGTGTACTCTCATTTTGTGCGTGCTTTTTGCTTGAGGTGTGCGCAAGTTTCAAGCTGCTTGCCGTTCTTCGCGTGACTTCACATGTGTTGCTGTAGCATTCATTCACCCTTGTGGCGAAACAATGCACAATAAAAGCTCAGCTATACATATGTGAAGACTCATTTCACTTTTGTGTTATGTTCAAACTGTTGTGGATCGGGCGAGTTGGTTATCCATGAACTTAGCCTGTATTAGCGCTGCACATGTGAAAATAAAAAAGGGAAAGACATCAGAGACGTCTATATTTTAGCGCCTGTCTTTTGAGACGTCTCTGGTGTCTTTCCCCTTTTATTTTCATATAATACAGGCTAAGTTCATGTTAAGGGCTACCTGCGCTGGAGTTTCCGTGGATATGGAGCGCCGCCCTGTCGAGTACGGCTGGAAATATTCGAGCGTACAAACAAATACTAACGTGAACCATGCCACCGTGCGCGATGATCAGACAAGGAATAAGAAGCTTCAAGACCGGCGTTATTCTTGTATTCACAAATACCACAACCACAAAATGTTTTTAATACCAGGAATATAATCCAGAGCATGCATAGTTGATTTCTTTCAGCGTCAATTTCCACCCATGCACACGGGTTGGTGCTCTGGAAAATATCACAAGCATTTTAACAAAAATCTGCCTAGAAAACGTCCAAAAAAGCGCATGAAAACTTAGGTTACGTAAGCATCACGCCGTATAATATACACACCATATTTATTCGAATGTAACATGACCACGATTATAACACGAGGAGTAGCATTTCATTACGTCTAGGAAGCAAAGAATGTAATCTCGGCGCTCGGTACACGAAGGTCAACATTAGTAGCAAAAATCTCAACGAAAAAAGTCCCAGCTTGGCCACAAAGGCGAAGCAATGAACACGATATCAGCAAATGGAGAGTAATGCGCAGATTGGCAAGCAGATCCAAACGTGCCCCACCTTTCTCAAGCACAAATGACGCATGAAGCGTATTCACAGCTACAGGTGAACGCGAATAATCGTCTCAGTTGTTAATTTACTGTGTCTGAAAAACGCGCCCTTTTCACAAACGGAGGTTGTGCAACGATTGCAGTGACCTTTGTGCGCCCGGTAACTACAACAGAATACTTCGGGTGAAATCCCAAGGCCAGCTAACACATGCGATTGTTTCCAAAGTGACATAAGCGCACGCATGAGCGTCCACCCTTCCCCTCCCTCACCGCGGGGCAAAATACGCGTGGGAGATCAGAGCGCGCTGTCGCGTCGTGAAGATGTGGCGACGGGCGCTGATAGCACCATCCTGCTGGTAACGCTGAAAACGCGATAGTTCCCCCCGAGATGCCTGTCCCCAACAGTAAGTGGTAGATATAAATAGCTTGCTGTTTTAACGATGAAGAAGGTGCTCCTTCGTAGCCCAGTGGCCAATGCCTCGCCCTCACAATGCAGAGGTCCTTCGTTCGATTCCACGCACCGGAGTCTTTTTTTTGAATATTTTACTTTCGTTTTCATATACATAAATACGTATACATATATGGTAAGTGACGGCGACGCCAACGTCGGAGCCGGCGGCAAAATCCAGCCGAGAGTGTCCATATATTTGCTGTCGCAATAAAAAAAAACTTCGAGCCACACTCGAGTAAATACGGCATGATAGCTGACTCTCACGTGCACAGTTCCAGACTGGTTACAAGATGTTGACTGCTAGAAAAAAATCGTGATGATTCTGTAATTAATAGTGCAAGAGGTGTCACTACCAACGTCGTAAATGTGATGTTCTCACTCAAAACAGCTGCCACTCGGCTGAATGCTACGTCAGGGCTGCCTAAAAAACCGTTAATTTTGCTTCAAAGCAGGTGCACAGCGAGAAACCTGTACACTACGTCGAGCTTCGCAAGCACTGTTTGAACACACTTAGCTGTAAGTATGGTCTTGCCTGAATCACCAGTGAAACCTGAAGCGGGCAGTGTAGAAGAGCCCCCAAATTGCTGCTATGTAGAAGCTCCCTTCTGCCCGAGAACAGAGTAAGAATAACAAATGACCACTCTTTCTCTGTCTCACTAGTTCATGAATACACGTTGGCTCCATAATCTTCTTTTTTCACTCTATTATATTCTGCTCTCATTCAGGCCGGGCAGAATCTTTTGAACATTGTTGGTTGTGTTTAAACCAACAGCAACACCTCACAAAAATAGAATTGCTCATGTTCCAGGAGTGCAAGAACACTTGTAAAGATGTCCTCACGATTAGGCACGTGAGGCAATGTTAGGTAAATGCAGTGGTAGATGTAATCGAGTGTCTATCTTCATTCGCGTTCTTTTTTTTAATAATACGGTGACCAATATTGTATGTATAGAGGTATACGTGACAGGACGAGTGCTTTTTCGTGTACCCCACCTCTTTTTGTTACCATGTACCTTAACCCTGATAACAGCATTGAGTTGAAATCTTAAACTTTCGGAAACGAGGTAGTCATGATTCTAAACATCTGGTTAGAAACATTTTATTTCAAAATCTAGTGACCAGATAGGAAAACGCCCGGTGTTAGAATTGCGGACGTCATCGTCTTCTCGAAGAAATGCAGGAGAACTTAGGTCCGTGCGTGTTTGGCTCGACGTTCAACGTTGTGAAACGCACTAGAAGAGAAACTTGGACTTGTCGGTGGTTCATACTTGGGATGAATAAACAGCGCTAAGAAAGTGACAAATAAGGAAGACACAACTGAGGTGTCTTCCTTAGACCTCGTCCGCTCTTTAGCGCTGTTTTTCCATCACAGGTGGTGAAATGACTAGGCAGTGCTTCCATGGTGGCTAGGCAGACAATGACTAGGCAGTGCTTTCAGGGCTGGGAGTGGTAGAATGCGTTAGAGAGCTGAGGTTTTCTTTGAAGAAACCACCTGAAAGTAAAAAAAAATTACAATAAAGAGGGGACAGTTCCGTGGTAGCCATGGCATTTCCCTTCACATGCAAGAAGACAGAAGTATATGCGCAAACAGCTGGAACTAGCAACTTTGACCTCCGTACTTGCTCTACTGAATTCATTACTTCTCGCCAAAACGTATCACTACTTCTCGTCACTATGTAGCGGTGAAAGCGATATCTTCAAATGCACACACGTCAGAGTAAAAATTGTGTTTGAACCCTGCTTTGCATATACACCTCAACCCTTGGGTGAAGTGCAGAAACGCATTTTCTAAACTAAACATTCAACTCAATTGAGCGAGAGAATAAATTTAGAGAAAGGCTGCAAGCTTAACAAGAATTCAGTTGGCAACGTCTTAGAAGATACGTAATGACTGACTCTTCCTCATTTCCGGAAACGATGCCATTTAAAAAGAGTACATGTCTTCAAGGGCTGCGACTGCAGCCTAGGAATACTGACCCAATAAGATACAGCAGAACAGACTTGCCCCAGCCAAAGTAGGGCTACAACATTTAGTTTACGCTTCTGTCGCTGTACTTGACGTAAATCGTATACTATTATACTACGAAATCGTGTCGTTTGCAAGCTCCAGACACCATAACGGACAGATTTCAGGCTTACCACGAACTGTCGCTGCGCCGGCACGAGATCCAGCTTAGCGCCCGTAGTAGTAGTAGGGGTAGTAGGCGCCGTAGTAGGCAGAATACGGGTAGCCGTAGTACAGACTGTCTGCGACGTAGTACTGTGGCGCAGCCACAGCCTGCGAGACGGCGAAGAGGGCCAGCACGGCGAGGAGAATCTGGGAAAGATAACCAAACGCTGTTTAAAAGAAAGCGAAGCAAATGAAGTGATAAAGGAAACCGTTTAGTTCTAAACTACATGGAGAAGAACACGATCACTGGTGAGTTGCTAATCCATCACGACGACACTGCGCAATAAACAACACAAACATGGAGAATGCTATATATCAGCCACACCACTGGAGGCTAAGCCATCGTCTAATTTGTGCCCACACTGCAAAGATTGCAAATGTCACCTGCTGCTGCGTCAAACCAAGCTGCTGTCTAGACATAAGGCGCAAGGAGTATCGGAGGTGTTTCTGTTTTTAATATAAGCGTGGTAACGTGTGCAGTGCCAGACCTTCGGTTATGTTTCACGAACTTGAGATAGATACACCTAACCACATGTTTGTAGTTTCTGTGCTTCTTTGTGATGTGTTCCTTATTTTCTCTATGCGTTTTCTTAGAAAAACTTTCAGTTGCCAGATGCGATCGTGCGTGTGCGTGCCTCCGTTTTTTATGCAGTTGCTTGACAACCTACAAGTGTCTTTCAGAGTTCCTAAACGTATGCGTTTTTCGCACAGCATAGCTTCAGGGAAAGCACCAGTATGGAACTTAATCTAGCGCTTTGATACACCGCATATGCTGCAGTCAATAATGCGTGCAAAAATATCGATCGTGCACCAGTTCTGCGCTGCCCATTTAGAACTACATGCCACCACCGCAGCAATGCTGATCTCATAGCATAGCGTAAAAATATTTCACAATTGACTAATACTTTGCCTACACATTGTAAACAAATAGTCTAATATACAACCTAAGTATGGAGCACAAGTCTTGAACAAAGCGTCAAATTGGTAGCCCTTGGTAATCTGTGGCACGACTAAAATGTACAGTTTAGGTTTCAATAGAGTAGACATAGTACGCGTAATCTTTATGCTGCTGAGGCTTTCGACCGAAGCTATATGCCAAAACGCAATAAAAACACCCTTTCCATCGAGGTAAATATCTCGCGTTATCTGTTAGCATAAATGTAAGGTGTCAAATGTGTACACATAATTTGATTCTCGCCACTAATTAGACGGAAGTTTGGTGCATCGCAGTGCATACAAATGTCCACTGAGCCTCCCTCAAATCATTTCTCAGTCGCCAAGAGTCAGTTCCTCAAATAGCTCACTCGCGGCTATTGAATAACTTGACAACAGGGACTTGAAAGTTTGCGAACCAGCCTTAAATTAATTTCAACTAAGCCTTTAGTTTTTGCCCGCACTTTTCTGACAGGACCAGCGACTTTTTAGGCAATCCATCATGTAACTTCAATAAAACTTAATTTGGGCCTAGACGGTGAATCGTTCTGAGGTTAAGTATTGCAGCGCAAAAACACAAGACGTCCACTATGAAAAGACACGACACACATAAGCGCGGGCTATGAACTGCCGTCTTGGAATCCTGGAAAGATCTAGCTTCCCACCAGATAGCGACGAAGGCGTTGTTGATGAGGTTGCTACGAGCTACCCCCCGTGCCGAGCGATTGTGACACTCCCGCGCAAGTGTAAATGTGTGTTTCTTCTTATATCCTACCCTCTCTCATTCTCATCTTCCTTACTTTTCTTTTGTTTTGAACCCTTACCCTGAGCAGGGTAGCAAGCCGGATCTTCCTGATTACCAACCTCCCTGTCTTTCCTCATTCTATTTATCTCTCTCTCTCTCTCTCTTTGACACTTTCCTCCCACCTACGTACATCCCACTAACCCATCAAGCAACGTTACTTACTCCTACTATATGCAGATACACGGGCAGGTGAGAGACAATGTATCCGCAGCGAAACGAACACTGCGGATCGACGCGAAATGAGAAACGCGGCAAGGCGGACGAACGCGAGGCGACGAGTGAACGTCGATACTTACCAGAACCTTGATCATGGTGGCTGCGTCGGTGGGTCTCCGAGTGCTGCTCGAAAGAAAACGAAGAGGCTGGTCGTGTGTGTGCGTGCCTCTTCGCCGACGATGCCACCATTTTATACGGATCTTCTCAAGGCGACGCCTTCGCACCACTCTGTCCCGGCCCCGAGTGTTGCGCAAGTTCGCGCGCTGGCGCACACGGGCGCCGGGCGCCACGGAAATGAAGTCGAAGGAAACGCATATTGGAAACCCGTGGACGCCCGTAGAGCGACAGTCCGTCTGTCACTCACTCATTCAACTCTCTGTTTTCTCTCTCTTTCTCAATCTCAAGCGCATCTTTTACCGCTTCCTCAAGGTACAAATGCCTCGCCATAGCAACCAAGGACCACGAGGTGTCGGATAGGTGCTGGATGTACTTTGTAAAGATTCTGCCTGCTTGTCTCGCTTCGCATGCAAACACCGATTGCAAGACTGGAAATGTATTCGCGGTAACTTTCCAAAGTGTGTCAAGTTCTTCTATGTTCGCGCTTTCTATAAAGATATCCTGAATTGTCATATACCGACTGAGTGACTCGTTCGCAAAAGCGCTTCAGCCATAGCCTGTCCTCATTCTCCGACTACAACGTATCTTTAAATTGTTGAACGGGTGAAAAAGAACAGACATGACATGAAAATAAATGCAGGAGTTGTCACCATTTCTTGGCCAATGTCACCGTTTTTAGTTTCAGTGTTAAAATAAAAGCAATAATTAAGGAAATAACATACATACAGTACTGCGTATTGTGGTTATAAAGCCCACTAATAATTAACACACACACATATTAGAACGACCAACACTTCCGATGTTTAGTTCACCCAGTCCTCATCCAAGCAATCAGTGTCTCGAAAAAGCATTGAAGTACTTTCGTTCGTTTGTGAATAATCTCTCAATATATATGCATATAGTATATTCGTTTAAAAGTGTGTTGATTATGATGCAAGTCGTATTGAAGTCAAAATGACGCTGTCCTGCAATTCGCATCATTTCTTCGATGGCTGTACTGTAGCGAGAGCAACCGCTTCTGAAAGAGTTCTAGGTAATTAGATGTAATTATCTTTGCTCGTTGTTCCCCCCGATTGAATTCTGCAGCGAGGCTTAGAATCCAAATTGCTGCCGTCTATGGTGTAGCAACGTCCAAATTTCTAATGTAATCCCAACATTTTTACACAAACCTCTGAAAATTCTAAATATATATGTATGTTCTAACTTCACTCTCAGTTAAACAACTCCCAGAAACTTCCTGTATCTGGCACTTCGCTTCAAGAAGAGTAGCGAGGATTTTACGTACTAAAACCACGATGTTTTATTAAAGGCGTGGTAGCGGAGGACTTCAAAAGTTCGGACCATCTAGTACTTTTTAACGTGTACTGACATTGCACCGTACACAGGTCTTTACCATTTTGACTCCATCGAATCGTGGCCACCGCGGCCGGAATCTAACCGGTGACCTTCGGGTAAAAAGCCGAGAATCTTAACCTCTGCTCCACTACGGCAGACGCTTTAAATATAAGATGTAGCAAAGAGTGGGTCTCTTTAGTCAACGTCTTCCTCGTCGATTGGCCACATTTCAAACCCACGCATTTCTTTGAAGCGATAGCAAAGTTACAATATTCGGCCAACCTGAAAAAGTTAATGCCCTTTGTAAAGGCTGTCAAGTTGCTAAACTGATTTATCTTACAAGTGTTTAGTCATTCTCCAATCAGCTTCTAACTCAATATGGACAAAGCGTAAAAACAACACGAGATTACTAAACTTGAAGCAAACTTTTTTTAGAAAACAAACAAAAAACCACACGAACAATAAACTTTTTTTTTCAGATAACACAGGATTTCTTAGAAACCTTCCACCTCTGACAACCTTCATTTTGCTAAGTTCGCCTGCTATGCTAACTTTTTCTCTGTTTCTTCCGCTTCCTTTTTTTTGTCTGGCTTTCAGCACAGTCAATTGCATCAAAACGGCCAGAAGTGTTCAAGAAACACTGTGTGTTGGAAGGAAAACTTTAGTATCAGAACATCTCCAGTCTGTTCCTGGAGTGACGTAAGAAAATCAGTTGACCAGAGATAGATAATAAAAAAAGTCACTGCCTTGCCTGAAAGGCGAAGCAATGAACGCGAAAACAACAAATGGGAAGGTCACGCGAGGAATAGCAAGCAGATCTAAACGTGTCGCACGATTCTCACACACAAATGAAGCACCAAACGCACTGACAAGTACAGATGAACGTGAATAAGTGTCTCAGTTGTTACTTCGCTGTGTCTAAATACACGCTTTTTTTTTTCGAAAACGGAGACTGTGCAGTAAATGCAGTGACCTCTGTGCGCTCGGTAACTACGACAGAATGGCTCCGGTGAAAGTCCAAGACATGCGATTCTCCCCACCGCGAGATAAGCGCCCGCACGCGAGAGCGTCCCCTCTCCACAGCACAAAGTAGGTGTGGGAGATAAGAGCGCGAGCCGCCGTGTCGTGACGATTTGGCGACGCACGCTCATGGCGCCATCTCGCTGGTAATGCTGAAAACACGGTAGTTCCCCCGAGATGGCCATCGCCAGCGGTAAGTGGTAGATATTGTTACGTGAAGGTACACGCGAAACTAGGGTCTTGAAGATATATTTACACAGCGCCAACGCACAAGCCAAGATGGAGAACGAGTGCTGTGCTCTACACCAAAATCATGTCGTCTTTCTATGCGCCTATCTAACCGCTTTTGTGGGACATTGTCTCATAACAATACAAATTGCTTGCCGTTTCAACGATGAAGGAGGTGCTTCCTTTGTGGCTCAGAGGCTAACGCCTCGCATTCACAAGCAAGAGGTCGGACATTCGATTCCGCGCGGCAGAATCTTTCTAAATTATTTTTTTTCCTTGCGTTTCATATATATATATATATATATATATATATATATATATATATATATATATATATATATATATATATATATATATATATATATATATATATATATATATATATATATATATATATATAGATGTCTGTACATAAACTGTGAATGACGTTGACGCCTACGTCCACACCGGCGGCAAAATTCATCCGAAAATATCCTTATAATTGCAATCGCAATAATAATAATGATATTATATTAATATCTGGGGTTTTATGTCCCTAAGCTACTATACGACCATGAGAGACGACGACGTGGAGAGCTCTGAAAACTTTGACAACCTGGTGTTCCTTAACGTGCACTGCCTTGCGCAGTATACGGGCCTCTATCACTTTGCCTCCATCGAAATTTGGCAGCCGCAGCCATGTTCAAACCCGCGACCTTCACGACAGCAATGGGTTAGCCTTTTAACCAACGTCTAGGGCAGCCATGCAGCTACGCTCGGCAGCTGTGCGAAGGGGCGCCTGAAAACCACACAGCAACTTTTCTAAGTGCGGCGTAAGAGGCGACGAAGGCACAAGGAGGAAGTTGGCTATAGACTTCGGATAATGCCTTTGCTTTTCAGCAGATACATTATTGCTGCGAGCGATGCTTGGTTTATACTGACCTTCAAGTTCTGCCCCGCCGCGGTGGTCTAGTGGCTAAGGTACTCGGCTGCTGACCCGCAGGTCGCAGGATCGAATACCGGCTGCGGCGGCAGCATTGGAGGCGGAAATGTTGTAGGCCCGTGTGCTCAGATTTGGGTCCACGTTAAAGAACTCCAGGTGGACAAAACTTCGGAGCCCTCCACTACGGCGTCTCTCGTAATCGTATGGTGGTTCTGGGACGTTAAACCCCACATATCAATCAATCAAATCAACCTTCGAGTTCCGTTTCTTCTTGTCAGGAAGCCTCAACCTCTGGCGCTCGCGTTCGCGGAATGGTCGGTGTCCAGGGGACAGACGCTTCCGCCATCGTGGAAGACACACCCCACCACCCACCAGACACTGCTAGCACAAAGCGTGAAAAGAGGGCAGAATGACTATCGCACTTGGATTCACTTGACACACAAAGCGTGCGTAAGCTACCCACATCGACTTGTCCTGCAACCACGTCGTGCGCCAGTTTGCGCCGCTCACCGAGTCGCACAGTCGGTGCAGAGCTTGACGCCCTCTGCGATCTGGCATGGTGGCGACCGAGCCGGTAAAGGCGCTTTGATTCGGGGGAAGTGGAACCAGGCGGAGCCGCGACTGCTTTCTAGGAACCACATGACTGCAAGTATAAAACACCGTAAGGATGATGCGGCACTGTATATGCTCCAGTGCATGTGCTTGCGCTGATAAGAGATGTCTGTTCATGGCGTCATTGAAAGAGTAACACCAGACCACGGAAACTGAAGTTCCAGCCATCATCGAATCGACCCCGCCGCTGTTAAAGAAAAGCTTCCTTTCAAACCTTTTTTCATGAACGCGAAGACTTCCGCTGGAGGCGCCATAACAAGCGCAATACTTAAAGCGAGGTAAACCATCGTTTTCTCAAAAGTATTGTGCCCAATGCAACTGAAAGGCAATGTTTGCATTCCGTGCTGTGCGTAGCACTTATGAGCACTAAGTCTGTTGGTTAGTGATCGTGATACAATAATATTCAGCAGACATCACACATTCGATCTCATCGATGTGCCCTGTGGCTTCTACAATGGATTTTGTTATCAGTGACGAAGCGCAAAAGGAGGCAAGTCGTAGTGGAAGTCTTCGGTAATTTCACCCATCCGATGTCTCTCTTCACTTGCACCTAAATCCACGTACACAGGCCTTTAGTATTTCGCCTCCATAGAAATGCAGCCGCCGCGGCCCTGATTTGATCTTGTAACCTGCGTGACCTTTGAGACCTGCCAAATCATATCCCCGTCACAAAAACACTCTGCCTCGCTTAAAAGGAACAGCCTATAGCGTACAAATACATGTAATTTGTGCATGAAAGGCATCACACGTGTGTGTTGACACTGCATGACGTAACCGCTACAAAAACATAAATTGATTGTGTGAAGGAATCCCTATTGTATTGTTCGTACACTTCTTTTCTGTTTTGCCAACCTCCTACGCAAATGAGACAGTGACGACAGAACAGAGAACTGAGCGCGCGTATGTTGTAGTTTTCAAAGCACACCATTGTCAAAAGAGTGAGTGAGTGAAACAACTTTATTCGGTCCACAATCGACGCGAGTAAACTCAGCG